CGGGGCCCCGGGGGCGCGGCGCGGCGGAGCCGGGCCGCCCGCTCACAGTCCGGCCCCGCTTTCAGGGCCCGCACTGCGCCGGCCTCTGCCCGCCTGACACTTACGGAGTCAACTGCTCCGCACGCTGCTCCTGCCACAACGCCCTGGCCTGCTCGCCCATCGACGGCGCCTGCGTCTGCAAGGAGGGTGAGGGCGTGGGGTGTCCGGGGAGGGGCGGCGTGGGGGCGGGCCCGGGGCGGGGGCGGGCCCGGGCCCGGGGAAGGCGCGAGGCTGCAGGGTGAGGGCGGCGCCCCTGGGTAGCAGCAGCTGGACGGTGGGAAAGTAGCCAGCCTACTTCCTTCCTGGAATATCCACTTTGCTTTTCTTCAACCACAAAAATCCTGCTTGCGCTTAAAGGCCCAGGCCAGAAGGCCCCTCTCGGCGAGCATTCCTCACCCTCTGTCATCTAGAACCGCGCGATGTCAGGGCCAGGAGGGACTTCTGAGACCTACCCGGGTGGCCCGTTGGCCACCTCTAGGCTGGATTCTAACACGGATGTGTTTTATTTGGGCGGTTCTCTGTTATGTTTAACCAACCTCCGGTCTGCAGTCGCCTGCCCTCCCCGTAGTCTGCTGCGTGATCTGTGTAACTCATTTAGTTACCTGGTGGGGCCTGTAAGCACTTGGGTCGCTGCCAGCTCCCCTCATTCTGCAGGAGAGGCGGGCCCCAGAAGGGGGTGGCTCGCCGCCGGCGGCCTCTCTGCCTCTGTCCAGCTTCTACCAGTGTATATGCCGGTCCCCCGTGTGGGCCGGGAGGGCCCCCAGCCCACCCCCGGCTCGGAGCCCAGAGCCTGGCACGGCTGAGGCCTGGTGTGTGCTACCCCGGGAGGGCTGGAGCCCTAGGCCTACCTGCAGGGCCCTTCTTCCAGGTTGGCAGCCTGGTAACTGCTCTGTGCCCTGCTTACCTGGAACCTGGGGCTTCGGTTGCAACGCCAGCTGCCAGTGCGCCCACGAGGCAGCCTGCAGCCCCCAGACCGGGGCCTGTACCTGCACCCCTGGGTGGCAGGGGGCCCACTGCCAGCTCCCGTGCCCGGTAAGCACTCAACAGCCTGTCTGCCCAGGGAATGGCGGGTCGCAGCCTCCTCCCTGCCAGCTGACTGGCCTGCCCCCACCCCACCCCCTCTCCAAGAAGGGACAGTTCGGTGAAGGCTGTGCCAGTCGCTGTGACTGTGACCATGCTGACGGCTGTGACCCTGTTCACGGACGCTGCCGGTGCCAGGCTGGCTGGACGGGTGAGCATTCTAGGTGTCCAGGCCCCAGGCCCACAGCGGAGTTGGGGGATGCATCCTAAGTGTGTCCAGAAGAGCCCCTGTGGACACCGGGGGCCCAGGCTGGGCTCACCCTACCCTTCTCTCCCACAGGCACCCGCTGCCACCTGCCCTGCCCCGAAGGCTTCTGGGGGGCAAACTGCAGTAACACCTGCTCTTGCAAGAATGGGGGCACCTGCATCCCCGAGAACGGCAATTGCGTGTGTGCGCCTGGGTTCCGAGGCCCCTCCTGCCAGAGATGTGAGGCCCCCCTTTCCTTCCCCCACCTGGGGCCTGTAAGCACTTGGGCGGTGCTTACAGCAGTAGGGGGCGGTGCAACATCAGTTGCTGGAAGCCCCGCCCCCACTACCCCGCTCCAGTGGGAGGGAGGGAGGGAGATAGCGGGTCAAGGGCTGGCTGAGGGTTCTCCCCTGCCCCCCAGTCACCGCCAGTCTCTCTCCCGCAGCCTGCCAGCCTGGCCGCTATGGCAAACGCTGTGTGCCCTGCAAGTGTGGTAACCACTCCTCCTGCCATCCCTCGAATGGGACCTGCTACTGTCTGGCTGGCTGGACGGGCCCCGACTGCTCCCAGCGTACGTGCTGGCCTGTGTGGGGGAGTGCGTGTGTGTGCTGAGAGGCGGGCTGAGGGCCAGAGGCTCCTGTTCCCCTGCTGCGGGGCGTAAAAGCCTCTGCACCCACTTGGATTCGGTAACTTATGTAAACAACGCAAACAGATCCATAGTGGGTGTCCCCTACACGCGGGTCCTGTTCCACGTGCTCAGGGAACGCCCACCCTTCTGCACGGGACGCCTGGGAAGGGCATTACTCGACCAGGCGCGGGGTGGGGGGAACCCCAAGCTTGGTTTTGGGCACGTGCTTTTATCCCCTCTGCGCTTTTCAATTTATATTTATTTGTATGTGGCTTCCTCCCCCCATAAATATATAAAGAACATCACGGAAAAGGTTAGTCCCCCAAACCACAGACAGCAAGTGTTGGAAACGGGAAATGAGGAGATGTGGCCACAAGAAAGGCTGGGTGCAGGGGCGGTGGGCGAGGGGCATATCTAGGGGAAAAGTTTCCCATAGGATGCGGTCCCGGCTACCATTAGATTATCTGCTAGTGTCACACACACAGAAGTTATGCCTCAAAGGGTTTACTTCTCTCTTATGATAAAGACGTAAAAAAGAAACCAGAGCTAAGCAATGCAGGGTAGTTTGAAAGCCTTTGGTTGTCTGGCCTTGGCCCCGCGAGTCTGAAATGGCTGCTAGATAGCCAAGTGCAGGTTCCAGTAGGCAGTTGGGCACGTGATAAGCATGTGTGACTCATCGGTGTGCGGCTGCGGTTCAGAAACTTGGTGTCCCCGGGAGACCAAGGCTGAGAAGATTTCAGGGAGCTGGGGCTGAGGGTTCATCCAGACGGGGGTGGCCCTGCCCCACCGGACAGCCACCTTGTCTCCTGCAGCGTGCCCTCTAGGACACTGGGGAGCCAACTGCGCCCAGCCCTGCCAGTGCCGCCAGGGGGGGGCCTGCCACCCCCAGGATGGGAGCTGTTTCTGCCCCCCAGGCTGGACTGGATACCTCTGCTTAGAAGGTACCCAGAGAAGGGAAACTCCCGCCCCTCCCCCAAGCCCAAGGCGGACACTGCAGATCTGGGTCCCTCAACCCCACTGCCTCCTTGCCTGTCCCGCAGGCTGCTCTCCGGGGATGTTCGGTGCCAACTGCTCTCAGTCCTGCCAGTGTGGTCCTGGAGAGAGGTGCCACCCAGAGACGGGAGCCTGTGTGTGTCCCCCGGGGCACAGCGGCGCCCCCTGCAGGATTGGTGAGTTCTCCTGTTGGCCCCGATGGTCCCCAGGGCACCGGGACGGTCCCCTTATGGGCCCTGCCCCCCTCCCAGGGCCTGTCCTATGCGGGCACCCCAAGCTCACGGGCAGAGCCAAGACTGCGCTGAGTGGCCATCCCATCCCCCTAGGAAGCCAGGAGCCCTTCACCATGATGCCTGCCTCTCCGGTGGCCTATAACTCGCTGGGGGCAGTGATTGGCATTGCGGTGCTGGGGTCCCTGGTGGTGGCCCTGCTGGCACTGTTCGTCGGCTACCGCCATTGGCAAAAAGGCAAGGCACACCAACACCTGGCCGTGGCCTACAGCAGCGGGCGGCTGGATGGCTCTGAGTACGTCATGCCAGGTGAGCTGGCCCGGGGGCGGGGGACACGACGCGGGGCTGGCGCGTGGGCTCCCGGCGGATGGGGTGCGGGGCTCCCGTGTCCCTCCCTGGATCCGGAAGAGGCGAAGCGGGGAGCTGGAGGGGAGAAGAGAGGTCAGATCTGCCGGGACGCAACAACTGTCTTGGGCCCGGGCCTCTCGCTGACCGGCCAGGTCACGACGCGCCCCGTCTGTTCGCGCAGATGTCCCTCCCAGCTACAGCCACTACTACTCCAACCCCAGCTACCACACCCTGTCACAGTGCTCACCGAAACCCCCGCCCCCGAACAAGGTCAGTGCTGGGGGAGGGAAGGCACCGCGGTTGGGGGGGGGGGGCGCACACCTACTTCTCTGGAAAGCTCCATCCTTGTGTGTTCTCTCCCCCTTCCGCCCCTCCCCTATCAGCTTCCGGGCAGTCAGCTCTTTGGCAGCCTGCAGGTCCCTGAGCGGCCAGGGGGGGCTCACGGGCAGGATAACCACAGCACCCTGCCTGCGGACTGGAAGCACCGCCGGGAGCCCCCTGCAGGGCCTCTGGACAGGGGTAGGAGCCTGGAGGCCAAGGCGTCTGGAGAGGGGGGCTCGTGCGGCTCAGCACCTGCTCCCTCGGAGCCTGTGTGTCCGCAGAAGGGTCCTGGGCTCTGGTTCCGGGGCAGGTGGGAGCCTGGGGAGGAGCGCGGGGTCTGACTCCTCATTGCCTCCCTCTCCCCCTGCGCAGGTAGCGGCCGCCTGAGCTACAGCCACAGCTACCGTAGCAGCGACGGCCCAGGCCCGTTCTCTGGGAAAGGTACGGGCGCGGGGGTGAGGCAGGAGGCCGAGCTGGGGTTTGGGCGCCAGTGTGCCCACAGAGCCTGACTCCTTTCCCCTCTCCTTGGGGCCCATCTCCGAAGAGGGGCTGGGGGCCAGCGTGGCTTCCCTGAGCAGCGAAAACCCCTACGCCACCATCCGGGACCTGCCCAGCCTCCTCGGGGGCCTCCGGGAGAGCAGCTATGTGGAGATGAAAGGCCCCCCCTCAGGGTCTCCCCCCAGGCAGCCCCCTCCACTCCGGGACAGCCAGAGGCGGCGACACCCCCAGCCACAGAGAGACAGTGGCACCTATGAACGGCCCAGCCCTCTGACCTATGGTGAGTCCCCCTTCTCCGCTGGGGCAGGGGCTACAGGGAAGCAGGACGAGGGAGGGAGAAAGAAGGGTAGGGGGGAGAGAGCACAGAGCGGGCCCGGTGCAGCACCAAGAGCGTGGACCTTGGGGTCAGACTGGGCTCGCACAGGCATCACGTCTGGGAAGTCACGTTGCCTCCAAGGGCCTGTGAGTGGTGGCCTGCCTCCCAGGGCTGAGGATTTGAAATGGTCTGACAGCACCTGACTTGTGGCGTTGGTACTCAGAAAAGAGGGGAACAAGGTTGGGGACAAAGTGTCCTCATAACCTATGAGGTGGGCAGGTCAAGGTGGCCTCCCCCCGACGGCAGCTGAGGAGATACACAAACTGGCACCGTCCGTCGTCTGTCTGTGGGCAGGAGGGGCTGGGGAGGGGAAGGGAGGGGTGAGGAGGGAGGAGCCACCTCCCGCCCTGTCCCTTCTCTGTCCCCAGATGGAGACTCTGTGGGCTCCCAGCCCCCACTGCCTCCGGGCCTGCCCCCTGGCCACTACGACTCCCCGAAGAACAGCCACATCCCTGGACACTATGACTTGCCCCCAGTACGGCATCCCCCGTCACCCCCAGTTCGGCGCCAGGACCGCTGAGAGGTCGGGGTGGTGCGCAGAGGCCAGTACCTGCCCTTCGCGGCCCGGGGCTGGGGGCAGGGCCTGCTGTACCCTGCCAGGAGCGGGGAGAGGACCGGCAGGCCGTGAACGTGAACACGCCTGACAGAGGAAGCGAATGTCCGGGACACCGGGGCCTGGATCCCGGGTTCCATCGTGGGAGACACCGGTCAGCAGGAGGCCTGCCTTCCCTTTTGTACGTTTCGCAACCTGCTGCTCCCCAGGGCCCCAAGGCCTTTGTACATAAACTGGTGGGTTGAATGTTGCTGGAAAACTCTGATTTCAGATTAATGTCAAAAATGTATATTGGGCTCCTTTTCTGCGCACTCAAGGCTGTGTGTGTGTGTGTGTGTGTGTGTGCAGAGGGCCTCCAGGCACACACCCTGTCTGGGGCACACACTGTGCAGTCGAGAGGCAGCCCAAACTCAGCGAACTCCAGCAACAGCCTAACTGGCCTCCTTGCACACTGGCACCTGTTCCAACTGGCTGCTCAGAATAGACAGTGGTTAGTTACCTGTGTGTGGACGTCTTCGTGGGTGCCCCATGGCTCTGGGACCAGACTCAGAACTGTCACAGGCCTTAGGGGCTCTGCTGGCCTGGCCTGTCTTCAGCCTCACCTTGAACTGTATTCACTGTCACTCTGTTCTAGTCACCCTGGGCTCTAGATCCACCTACCAGCCACACTTCTTCCTACCCGGGGACTTTGCACATCCGGTGCTCTTGTCTTCCGCTCACCTGTTAGCTGCTACTTGTCCCTCACATCCGGTCCTCAGGGAAGGGCCTCTCTTGCTCCCCTCTGTTGTGTAGCACTGATTCCAGCTGTGTTCATCCACCGGATACCTGCAGAAGGTCCTCAGGGTACCAGTCCTCCCTGTAATGTGGTGTTTGTGGGATCATTTGATTAATCTCTGCCTCCCCTCTCCCCCCCCCACTGTAGGCTCCCTGGAGGCAGGGATCACGTAATATGCTCAACATCAGTTCCCCTTGGTATACAGTAGGCACTCAATAAATGTCCCCCAAAGGGCGAGCGGCTAAGTGAGCTGAAAGCACCAGTGGTAAGCGCCATTAAGTAGGCAGCCTGCGAACTGAGCTGAGGGGCGGCACATGTGGGCCGCTTCCCGGAAGAGTGGCACGTGCACAGGGCGGCACAGGAGGTCGGCGCCAAGGCTCCCAGGCGGGAGGTGCTGGCAGTGGCAGGGGGGAGCAGAGCTGGGTGGGCTGCGGAGGCTGGAGGCGGGAAAGCAGCGGGGACAGGGGAGGCTCACAAGGGCTGTGGAACCGCCGGGGCTAGATGACCTGAGGACTTTGAATACAGGATTTCTGAGAAGCGAGATCCGCCTCGTGACCGCATTAGCGGACCCACTAGCTGCGCACACTTCCCAGAGGCTAACCACACGGGGGGTCGGGAATAAAACCCAGCGCCACGCCTTTTCCATCGGGAGCCCTCTCCTTACAGGATAGGAGGGCGCACCCCAGAAAGTGGGTCTGCCCCCCCCC